GCCTTCGTTGACCTTGGAGAGCCAGTCCCAGACTAGCTTAGATGTTTCCAAAGCACTCACGTGGCCATACTGTCCTTTGGTCAGATGACCACAGATGATATTCTTGGCAGTAGAGTCCAGTTGAATGAACTTCTTGACATCAGCAGCAGTGACACCTTCTCCAGCCTTGGGAACGCCGTTCTTGACGACATACCATAGGTCGACGTCAATGGCTTAAAGATGCATGCGCATCTTATTCTTCCAGTAGGGATATTCAGTTCCATCGAAGACGGGGCATGCAGCGGAGACTTTAATTATCCCTGCAGTCGACATAGCTAAAACTCCAGGTGGTTAAACCGAATAACACAGAACAAGGGAGTACCTTGTTCTGATACCAATTGAAAGTGTGTTATATCGACTAGAGGGGGGTGAATAGGCAATTTTTATGAAGTCTTCAAAACGTGAAAGTTTTGAAGACAAACGATAGAAATAAACCTATTACCATGCAGCGGAAGGTAGACTACACTAGGCAAACCATAGTCAAGTATTCAATGAAGTGAAAGCACAATGACTAATAGCAGCAATGTAGTGAGGATCAAGTAGGAAGATATTATGAAGCCAAACAGAACACACAGTCACTTAGTGAAGACAAAAGATAGGACAGCCATACAATGACTTCACAAGGACCAACAGTAAGTAAAGGAAAGGGAAGGATGAAACCAGTGACTCGTTGAAGACAGTGATTTGTTGGACCAGTTCCAGTTGCTGTGACAACTGTACGTCTGGTTAGGGCGGCTAGGTATTTAAACCTGAGGACACACAGTCCCGGACACCCAGTCCTGAACACGCAGCTCAGGACACCCAGTCCTCACCGTATTCCCCTTGAGCTAAGGTCACACAGACCTCGCCCAATCACTCTGGTAAGTCTTCAAGGTAGACTCCCAAACCTTCACAGACTTTGTTCACCGGCGATCCACAATGGCTCTTGGATGCTCAGAACGCGACGCCTAACCGGCTGGAGGATTCACAATCCTCAAGTGTAATAAGTCTTCAGATCACACAGACAAGAAGACTTAAGTGATGCCTAACTCTCTTTGGCACTGGGTGGTTAGGGCTTTATCCTCGCAAGGAATTCTCTCTCAAAGGCTTCGAGGTGGGTTGCTCTCAAAACGACAAAAGCCGTACTCTAACTCTGAGCAGCCAACCATTTATGGTTGTAGGGAGTGGGCTATTTATAGCCACTAGGCAACCCGACCTGATTTGTCCGAAATGACCCCGGGTCACTAAGGAACTGACACGTGTTCCAACGGTCAGATTTCAACTCACGCGGCAGCTTTACTTGGGCTACAAGCAAAGCTGACTTGTCCGACTCTGGACAAGATTTGCTCTCACAGTCTTCACTCGAAGACATAGGTTTTGGTTAAGCATCACTTCAGTCATTCTGACTGGTTCACTTGGACCCCACTTAACAGTACGGTGGTTCCTATGACTCAACAAAGAAGAAACAGAACTACAAAAGATCTAAGTCTTCGAGCTCCATAGGCTTCATGCGATGTCTTCTCTTGTCATAGTCTTCAATGAGAATATCTTCATATACCACCTTTGACATCAATGTCTTCATACATTTTTAGGGGTCATCTCTGGTAGGAAAACCGAATCAATGGGGGACTTCTACCTGTGTTATCCTGCAATTCTCACAAACACATTAGTCCCTCAACTAGGTTTGTCGTCAATACTCCAAAACCAACTAGGGGTGGCACTAGATGCACTTACAGGCTCAACGTGCGGTCCCAAACGGATAAATGTCTGGATTTAGTTCGTTTTTGACTCATTTCTGGCCCAAACTTACGCCGCATTTGGGGTGAAACGGATATCGCGCAGACGGGCTAGACACACGCCCTTGTCCTTCCCGTGGCCCGCCTATCGAGGACACTAGCACTCCATTCGCCTCCACCCGCCACCCCACCCCACCCCGCCGCCGCCACTATTCTCCGGCCGCCTCCTCACTACTCACCCCTCAGCTGTCCATACCTAACCACGTCTCGACATGGCCGCTACCGTGCCCGCGCTTTTGTAGGAATTTTGGCCATCGGTTGGAGGAGATTTGGCCGTCACCGTCATAGCTGATGCCAGAGGGGATACGACTGCCGGCGACGGATATGGACCACGGCAGCTTCCGTCGGGTGCTCCAGAGCGGCCAGTAGCCGGCCGCCAACCACCCCTGCTGCATCGAGGTGATCATCGCGGCCTTTTTTCCACCACGACCGCAAGGTGTTTGACACTTTCCCCACAAAGGTATGGATAGTGGAGATGAATTTTTCTTCCACCACTTCATTTATTCATTGAATGATTCATCCTCGAATGACGAAGATCTTGTGGTGGCTGCACTGGTTGTTCACGACCACATTGAACGGCGGCTTCCTCGGTATAGGGGTCAGTCCCTGGCCGTGCTTCCAACCTGAACCGCAACAGAGAGAGGCCACGCCCTGCTCTATGCTGATTACTTTGCGAATACCCCGCTCTTCAAGCCAGATAAATTTCGTCGCCGTTTTCGTACGGCAAGGCATCTGTTAAATCGTATCCGAGAGGGAGTGGTTGCTCATGAGTCATGACCCATACTTCGAGTGCAAGACGGATGCCCTTGGCAAGCTTGGATTCTCCTCTTAGCAGAAATGCACCGCGCCCATCCGCATGCTTGCATATGGAATTCCAGGCGATCTGGTGGATAAGCACGTGTGCATGAGTGAGTCGACATGTCTGCTGTCACTGTACAACTTCTGCAAGGCCGTGGTGGCAGTGTTTGGTCCTGAGTACTTGAGGCAGCCAAATGCCGCTGATACAGAAAGGTTGTTGGCGATCAACGCTGCTAGAGGCTTTCCAGGCATGCTTGGCAATATAGATTGTATGCACCGGGAGTGAAAGAACTGTCCATTTGCTTGGCAGGGTCAGTACAAGGGGCATGTTAAAGCATGCACTGTCATATTAGAAGCGGTGGCTTCGCAAGATCTTTGGATATGGCACTCTTTCTTCGGCATGGCAGGTTCTCACAATGATATCAACATGATGCAACGTTCTCCAATCTTCGCAAGGATTGCAGAATGCCACTCCCCACCTGTCAACTTTGAGATCAACGGCCTCCAGTACAACAAGGGATACTACCTAGTTGATGGTATATATCTTCAGTGGTCAACTTTTGTGAAGACAATCTCGAACCCCCAAAGTGAGAAGAAACAGAGATTTGCCCCAAAGCAAGAGAGTGCTAGAAAGGATGTGGAACGTGCTTTTGGTGTGTTTCAATCTCGTTGGGGTATCGTTCGAAACCCTGCACTGCCATGGGATGAAGGGAAGCTTTGGGAGCTGATGACTGTTTGTGATGCACAACATGATCATCGAGGACATGCGTGATAACAACATGTTCGACCAAGGATTTGATTTTCAATGTGAAAGTGTTGAGCCCCTGCACCAAGAACATGCCACGTTTGAACAGTTTGCCCAATTTCATCGTGAAATGCGTGATTGACACACTCATTTGGATCTTCAAAATGGCTTGGTTGAGCACATGTGGAATCACATTGGTAACCAATAGATGTATTGGTTCATTATGTTCATTCAAGAAAAAATTGATTTGGTTGTAAAACTATTTTATTAGAGACAATTTTGATTGGGTTGTAAAACTATTTTTATTTCAGACAATTAATATTTGGACGTGCAAATTAGTTTTGAACATTGAAATATTAACATTTGGGCATTTTTAGCCGTGACAGATAGAATGGGGCCAAAGGATGTGTCCACGCGTTGAGCGCACGGCCACCGCATACCAGAAAAGGCCCGAACACAACCCCATCGCCCTATCCAAACGGACAGAATCTAGGCTAAATGGACGCCAGTTTGGGGTGATGCGCTGGAGTTGGCCTTATTTTTAACAGCAAATTCAAGGCTATTTTGCTCCCGGTGTCCAGGCCAGGTGATGTTTCCGCTTCACCAAACTGCGTGCAATTCCACACAAAGACTACCACTTGGCAAATTATCATATTTCAGAGCTACAATGGGAGAGGGGGGAGGGCATGGTTTTTTTAGATGTTTTAGTTTTAGTTTTATGGCTATTGTCCTACTCATAGATAGTGGCAATTCCATGAAGAAGACCTCGTCCCGGTGATGCGTCTAGTATTGTCGGTGGGCGTGTAGAGGCGTGTTTCTATCGGATCTGTCTTCGGTGCATATGTTCGGGTCTGGTCGTCGTTCATGTCTCTTCAGATTGGATCCTTTCGATCTACACTACTCTTCACCAGCAACAACTGCTGTTCTGGTGCGCTGGTCTTATGAGACCTTAGCACGACAACTTTTCGACTATCTATTACAACAAGTTTTGCTCGAGGATGGAGGACGTTGATTGCGGCACGCCTTCGGCTCGCTTCAATACTTGTACGCTAGGTGGTCTATGAATCTGGATGTAATTTTTATTATGTCTCGTGTTCGTTATACTGCTATGATTGAACATGAAAATAGAACCCACTATCCAAGACGGAATGTGGAATAACGTCTAGCTCACTTATCTTCACTGCAAGATTGACAAGAAAAACAATCTATCCTTCACTTAAAGGATGTTGAGAAAAACAACTCCTTGCATACCCCATGAAACCTTCACAATAATCATATGTCCCCTCTCAGGGAATTATTAGCTACCCCAGAATAATCCAGCACTAGGAGGGCTAAAGTGCAAAAAGCAGCCTACACAAAAGTCATCAGTGGAGCACACAATTGCCACTTGATCATTAATGGTCTCCCTTTCGTCGTCACCCCTAAACAGAAATCAAATCTGCCTCCCTAAACTGCAAAGCTTCAAGCACCAGCGACCTCCCTCCATCTCCGTCCCTTCTACTTCTCACCCATCTCCCCTCCCTCCCATGGCTGGAGTAAGCACGAACCACAAGGATAGTACAAGATAGCGCAGCGGAGTGGCGTAGGGAGCTGGTCAAGCGCAGCAGCCTCACAGCATCCAACCTCCAACCACCGCCGCGACCATGCGTGCCGCCGCGGCGCTCCTCCTCGCCGCCGGAGTCCTCTGCCTCGTCGGCGGCCGCGCGGCGTCCGCGTCGCCCGACTTCGACTACCCGGCGGCGTTCAACTTCGGCGACTCCAACTCCGACACGGGCGGCCGCATCGCCGCGGGCTTCGAGCCCATGCCCCCGCCCTACGGCTCCACCTTCTTCGGCGCCCCCTCCGGCCGCTTCTCCGACGGCCGCCTCATCCTCGACTTCCTCAGTGAGCACCCCCTCCCGCTCCCGACTCCCATCGATTCCCGGCCCGTCTCGTCTCCACATCCACGCTTCGCTGCCATCTGCATCTCACCACCACCAGCACCGGTGCTGACGGAAGGAATCGCCGTGTCGTAGACTGTCGAAAATCGAAATGGCTCGTCAGTGCGTGATTTTTGCGTGCGCCCTCTGGATGTTGCAGCAGCAGCACGAAACGAATCGTCGTGTACGGATGATACCACCACCGTCTGCAGCCGATCGTTTCCCTGATGGCAGCGTGCACATCTCCGCCGGGTCCAGCCGGTGGTTGGAGCAAAAGGCCGAATTGGTTAGGATTGTCCTTTGCTCGACAGGTCAAACGCACCCCCGGGGCGGTGGTTAGGGCCTTAGGGGTGGAGATCGACGCACCACTCTGCAGCCGGTCCTTGGTAGTTGCATTCACTGTCTTAACATTATGCTAGTGGAATTGTGCTGGATGTGAGGGGTCCAGCTCTGTTCGTGCGGTTTGGCACCCCTTGATTGTTGCAACATTTTGGTGAGATCGTGTGGATCTGTGGGGAAAGCAAGCTCTGCTTCTTGGGTGGTATTCTGTTCATACAGTGTACATAGAATTAGTTTGTTGCGATCCGGGTGCCTAACTTCCCGGCTGTAGTGAGCGAGACATATCATGTGCTCTCATTTAACTTATTAACTAGTAGTTTGACAGGGCCAATACTTTGCACCTGACTTTTATAGGTTATAAATCATTACGAGGCCAAGTGATGATGGATGTTTACTTTTCGGAAAAAAGAACTGATGATGGGTGTTTGGAGGAGAAACGTTTTTTAGAATAATTTGGAGTAGCTAAGAAGCAAACAAATGGCTTGCACAGTTCTCCTTGTAGGAGCTACATTTTCCCCGTAGTTAAGATGTTGATCAATGATCATTAACTTATAAGCATGAGTTCCATGGTTTGATCGCAATGAGTCTAATTAAAAACATTTTTGCAGTATCTGATTCATCGGCACAAATAAAATTTATGCAAAGCTGTATATCAGATAAGGTGATTCATTTGAGTTGCTCATGTCAGGAGGTGCTTTAGGGGGCCTATTGCATTATATTTTGTCTGAAATGCTGATCCCACTGAACCTTGATTTTCTTGATATGGCTGACACCTGACAGGCTATTGCTCTTACTTTTGTCAAAGAAAAATAATGGGGTGTTCTGTATTCTGATATGTGTTTCCTCTACTTCTCCTTGTAGTGGATGCGATGGATATGCCATTCCTCAATGCATACTTGGATTCTCTTGGCGCGCCTAACTTCCGGGCAGGTGTTAATTTTGCTCAAGCTGGCTGTTCGATTACTCCAGCAAGTGCAACATCTGTCAGCCCTTTTTCATTTGGTCTTCAGATTAAGCAATTCTTTGCATTCAAGGAAAAAGTCACCAGGCTGCTCTCTCAAGGTATGACTGATTAACAGGTTGTCTTGTACGGTACGCACAACCTTTGTATATTTGTGGACTGCAAAGCAAAACGTACATGTCTTCTGCAGTATCCTAGAAGTATTTATTCCTTAGTAGAACCCTTGATTAAATGGATGTGACTTGCCAGCTGTTCTAAAGACTTAGTGCAAAAAAGTCTGAACTCATGAAAGATCTCAGCAGAACAATTGGAACCATCAAACTGAATAAGTAGACATTGTTGATTGATTACCATATTTGTGAAAGTGCAATTTCTGTATTTCACCAGAATAAATTAGACAATACAACATAGGATAACATTCATAACACATTAGAAATTATTGCACTGAGTGCAATCAGAAAATCTAAAGCTTGATTGTCCTCTTTGAATAGTCTGACGAGCATCAGTTGTGGTACAAAGTTCCAAGAGTATATATCAACTGACGAGTAAATAATGATAAGCTCCTCGATACAACAGATAACCATCCAATTCTTTTGATTTCACCAATTCATACTATGGAACTCTTATTATATTTTTACAGGAGATAGGTACCGTCGGTATATTCCTCAGTTGGATTACTTTTCAAAGGGACTCTACATGTTTGATATAGGTCAAAATGACCTTGCTGGTCAATTCTACTCAAGAACAGAGGACCAAGTCATTGCATCCATTCCGACTATTTTGTCGGAATTTGAAACTGGGCTCAAGGTTTGTAAATACATAGTGCTTCATGGTTCTAATATTTTTCAGTCCATGGACTTGTCAGTTGTCATTTTGCCTCATTGCACTTTGGTAATCACATTGTTAATAGAGGTAAAAATCTCTGTTGTAGTTCATATAGGTTTCAGATTCTGTAACATGTATCTTGGTATTACTCTTTTAGTTATATAGTTTTCCAAATAAGTGCCTCACATTTAGGATATTTTTCTTTCATTTATAATACAATCTTATTCTATTATGTGTTCCTTGTTATTTCAGGCACTATACGATCAGGGTGCCAGGAAGTTCTGGATTCACAACACAGGTCCTCTTGGCTGCTTACCTCAAAACATAGATCTTTTTGGCAAAGACCCAACACAACTGGATGAACTTCATTGTGTAGCAAAGCACAATCGTGCTGCGAAGATTTTCAACTTACAGCTGCATGCACTTTGCACAAAGTTGAGAGGCCAGTTTTCTGGAGCTAATATCACTTACGTCGACATCTACTCCATCAAATACGCCCTGATTGGCAATTACTCTCGATATGGTATGCAAACTAGAGTTAACCACATCCTCTCGTTATCAACAAAACCAAGCATAAAAAATCATTTGGACTTGTCAGTATATCATATCAATAGGGTCTAGGAAGATGTTTCTAGATTACTAATCATGCTTCAAATATGATTATCATTTGGACTAAAAGAGAGTAAACAGTGACGCTTTGGATTTTGGCTCTTCGCTCATGCTGTCTTCTAGTTTTTCAACTTTCTTGTGCTAGGGATTTTTACATATGCTGTTATGACCGACATATTAGGTGGGCTGTGGCCCAAGTTATCTTATCGTTATTAGGGGCTTAGCCCAGTTATCTTATCGGTATTAGGGTCGTTTGCTTAGGAGTCAAGTAAACCTCTCTATATAAGGAGAGGAGATGTATCAATCTAATCAAGCAAGAAGCAATCAGTATTTGCTCGGCTTCCCTTAGGGAGCCGGGAGACCTAACCCTAACCGCCTCTTGCGCCGCCGCCGCCTCTTCTCCACCATGCAAGGACGGCGCCCAGCCGCCGGCCGCCGCGCCCAGCCGCCGGCCGCCGCGCCCTTGACCTCGTCTTCCTCCATCTTTCCCCTACAATCTCCGCCCTAGAACCAACAGAACCCTAGCTCCTAACACCTTGGTATCAGGTAGCTCAGTTCCGATCATGTCTTCACCGCCGCCCATCCCGTCGCTTCCGCTGCCGACCGTCACCACCACGCTGCTGGCCTTCTCCACCGCGCCGCTGCCCTCCCCGTCCGTGCCGCTGGTCGCATTCTCCGGCGCCGCCACCACCCAGATGACGGCGCCCTCCACCGCACCATCGGCCGTCGTCTACTCCCCGGTGGAGATCACCGGGGTCCTCAACGATCTCGTCACCGCCGTCCAGGGGATACAACTATACCTAGCCGGCCCCTAGGGGTCGCCGGCCGCCGTGACCGGGCCGGCCGCCCTGCCGTGGTATTCGGCACCCGCGGCGCCGACGGGGCCTCTACACCACCACTGGCCGCTTCAGCCGCCGCCCGCCGCCGCGCCCCAATGGTCGCAGTGGCCGGCGCCGGCCCTCGCCGCGTCACCCACGCCACCCGGGTCGTCGCCGCCACCGCCCTGGCAGCCCTGGCAGCCGCCGCACCCCGGGGCCACCGTGACGCTGGTCGGGCCGCTGCAGCTACAGCCAGCCCCCGCCACCGCCCCGATCTGGCCACAATGGCCGGCCGCGGCCATCGCCGCACCCGCCACCTCCGCCGTTTCCAGGCAGCAGCAGCTGCCGCTGCCGGCGCCTCCACCGCCCAGCACCGGGCTGACTACAACCGCGCCGGCGGGCGTGCCGATTCAGCAAGTGCAGTTCCCGCCCTCGCCATCCCAGCTTCCGGCCTGGTTGCCCGGGACGTCACCACCGCCAGTCTACACCATGGCCGTCGACCAGCCGGCGCCCTCCCTGTCGTACGACGGGCCCTCCGGCTCCGCGGGTTTCCATGCTGGCTTCGACGGGCCACCGCTTTCCTGCGGACCACCTGTGCACATCGGACCAATGCCATCCTCTTCGCTGCTCCGTACCGCCGAGCCGTACACTCATGGCGGTCATGCTCAGACACCGCCGCGCTTCGCCAAGCTCGCCTTCGCCACCTACGACGGCGCCGAGGACCCCCTCAACTGGCTCAACCAGTGCGAGCAGTTCTTTCGGGGGCAACGGACGTCGCGTCGGACCGCACCTGGCTCGCCTCTTATCACCTCCGTGGCGCCGCACAGACGTGGTACTACGCCCTTGAGCAGGACGAGGGCGGCATGCCCCCATGGGAGCGTTTTCGCGAGTTCTGCCTCCTTCGCTTCGGACTACCGATACATGGGAGCCGGCTGGCGGAGTTGGGCCGCCTTCCCTTCACCTCTACGGTGCAGGACTACATCGACCGCTTTCAGGCCCTGGCGTGCCACGCGTCCGCCGTGACGGCTCACCAGCGGGCCGAACTCTTCGTCGGCGGTCTGCCAGATCATATCCGCGTGGACGTCGAGCTGCAGGGACCCCAGGACCTCCAGACGGCCATGTACTACGCCCGCGCATTCGAGCGCCGCGCGGTGGCCATCCAGCAGGCATCACCGTCCCGGGCCGCTGGGCCGCCACCCTGGCCGGATGTTTCCGAGCAGGGTCAGCACACCTTGCCGCGACCGCGGCGTGCCCGTTCCGCCGGTTCACCTCGGCCGAGCTACTCGAGCGTCGCCGCCAAGGGTTGTGCTTCAACTGCGATGAGACCTACATGCCCGGCCACGTCTGCCCCCGACTCTTCTACCTGGAGGCTGCAGACTACATTGAGGAGGACGCCGTCGCCGCCGGGCTCGGCGACCTGGCCGCCCCAGCTGTCGCGGAGGTGTTTGATGCTGGTTGATCACCTCGAGGAGTTCAGTAAGCGCTTCCCCGCCTTACAGCTCGAGGACGAGCTGTTTGTGCAGGCGGGGAGAAGTGTTATGACCGACATATTAGGTGGGCTGTGGCCCAAGTTATCTTATCGTTATTAGGGGCTTAGCCCAGTTATCTTATCGGTATTAGGGTCGTTTGCTTAGGAGTCAAGTAAACCTCTCTATATAAGGAGAGGAGATGTATCAATCTAATCAAGCAAGAAGCAATCGCTCGGCTTCCCTTAGGGAGCCGGGAGACCTAACCCTAGCCGCCTCTTGCGCCGCCGCCGCCTCTTCTCCACCACGCAAGGACGGCGCCCAGCCGCCGGCCGCCGCGCCCTTGACCTCGTCTTCCTCCATCTTTCCCCTACAATCTCCTCCCTAGAACCAACAGAACCCTAGCTCCTAACATATGCTGAATTATCAGTTTTCATGTTCCCTCATCATCAGAATATCTACACAGTAATACTCGTAAAGATCATTGAAGTAATGTTTTTTAAATTTCCACTTTCAAACTTTTACAGGATTTGAAAGTCCCACCGAAGCATGCTGTGGATACGGAGGGCCACCCCTGAACTATGATGGCAGAGTGCCGTGTGGACAGACAAAATCTGTGAACGGTAATCTCGTAACCGCGAAAGGATGCAGCGACAGCACTGAGTATGTCAATTGGGATGGAATACATTACACGGAAGCTGCAAATTTCCACGTTACATCGCAGATTCTGACCGGGAAGTACTCAGATCCTCCGTTCGTCGACAAGATGCCATTCCTTATAAAACCGAGGTTCTAATGAGCTGGTATTTATTCCCACAACTGAATTAGTAAACCAATGTAATGTTGTATTGACCACAACTGATGTATTATTTATCACATGTCAATAATCACATATAGCTTCTTTTTTCATTAGTTCAAATATGTTTTTTTGGTGATGTGCACTGTTCTCTTGGCAAAATTACTCGAAATTTCGTTGTAGCATGCAAGTTTTGAAGGAGAGCTTCACATTTTGCAAGCAATTGAAGTTACTAAAGAATCTTGGCAAGAAAGAGTAGATTTGCATCCAAATTAATCACACTATCCAGTTGAGCTATCGTAAGAAGAATTAATAACTCCTGTTTGGGTGAGAATTTTTGTCCGAGTACTGCGGGAACTGAACTGTTTGCTCTGTAAAATTACCTAGTTCCAAACAGGCGGCAAACACTGCACACGAGCGCGGGTGCGCTTGCATTGATCTCTCTCTGTTCACTTCTAAAAATTCGAGCAGAAAACCGGGGGGATTCGAAAAATTACTGTGCTGTACTGTACACTGAGCGGCGCTGGAATGGATCACTTCTTGGAGATGTAGGCATAGTACTGCGCCATGGGCACGACGAAGGCGATGACGAGCAGGCCGCCGACGACGAGCGTGAACTGCCCGCGCTTCTCCTCCGTCTCCTCCTTGCTCTTGAAGTTGGACTCCCGCTTGCTCTCCTGGAACGCCGGCCCGCCCGGGTCCGGCAGCCCGTCGATCGCCGCCACCAGCCGCTTCGCCGTCGAGAAGATGGCCTCGTTGTACTTCTCGTCCGTCGCCAGCACTGCAATGCACGCGAGCATATCAGACGCTCATGCTCCGTCCGTCGCCGCCGTAGTGATGAACATCATACTAGCATTTGATGGCCATTAGGGGAAAGGGGAAGCTAGTTACGTACCTGGGAGGTTCTCGGAGACGGTGGCGTCGAGGATGGCGTCGCCGACGGCCTGCACGAAGGCCGGGCCGCCGGTGATGGCGCCCTCCTTCTGGCTGGTGACCAGCACCACGATCCCCTTGTTGCTGCCGTCCTCCACCGTCGGGTACCACTTCTCCAGCACTTGGTCCGCGTACTCGAACGCGTCGGCTTTGCTCTGCACACACATGAACACACGTACCCAATGCGAGAGCATGGGTGAGCTTTTGCTAGCCGGCCGCCGGCGACGAGCTGCTTACTGATCGAGACCAGACAGTACACGTACCGTGAGCTTGCGGACGGTGACGAAGTTGATCCGGATGTTCTTGCGGGCCTCGAGGTCGCGGGCGAGGCGCTTGACGTCGGACTTGGTCACGCGGCTCAGCACGCCGGCGTCGTCCACCACGTACGTGTCGGCCGGCGGCCCGTCGTTGAGCACGTCGAACTCCGACGCTGCGGCCGGCGCGGGCGCCGGCGACAGCGTGAGGGCCAGGGACAGCGCCGCGGCGGCGAGGCCGTGGTGCAGGAACGACGCCCAGCTCCCGACGCCGCCGTCGCCGTCGCCACGCCAGGCGACGCCCGCCTGCGCCTGCTTCTTGAGCGAGCAGGAGACGGCGGCGGGGGCCGCTGGCTTCCTGCTCCTGGAGCCCCGGAGCGGGCCGAGCAATGCGGAGGGGGAGAGGAGGGTCTCCATGGCCGCGGGCGCGGAGCGGGAGGTGGGGGTTGTGCGGGGCAGAGTTCACGCCGGAGTTGCTCTGCCGCGTCCATTTTGTTTGTGCGAGCGGCGTCACTCGAGTCGGATCGTGATTGGGTGGCTGGGATTCTGGAGCCGGATAAGGCGCGGCGCCAGCGTGGACGCCCGGACATGTCTGTCTGTGTCACGATGCGATGGAGTTTGCAGTTTGCATCGCTATGGTTTTTTCTCCTGTTTGTGTCTACTAGTAATAATTTCTACTCCCTCCGTTCTTAAATATTTATCTTTTTAGAAATTTCAACAAGTGTCTATATACGAAGCAAAATGAGTGAATCTACACTCTAAAATATGTCTTTATACATCCGTATTTGGTAGCCATTTGAAATCACTAAAAAGACAAATATTTTGAAACAGAGGGAGTATTACGTAGGATATTAGTTACATGTTATATTAGATAAGATATATTTGTTGCACCTTGGTATTTAATAAGAGCAACTCCAATGGGGTGACCCAAACAGACGGTGCATTTGTCTGCTTTTTGTCCGTTTGGGTCGGTCGCTCGCCCGCCGTCTGCCTAGTTTTGCATTTGGGTCGACAATGCGCCCAACGCGCCGACCCATTTCATGTTGGCATTCAACTTTTAAATAAAAAAGGCCCGCGGCCGATCATGCCAGCGGCCATGTCTCATGACGGCATCATGCCAGCGCCGACATAGAATGGCGGCTTCAGAAAACACCACAGTTCATGCTGACGTATTTGCCAGCCGGCCGGCACACATGCCAGCACACAAAAAATGGTGGAACTTGAGTTCGACCATGCCATTGCGGCTCCCGTGGTCATGCCGGCATACAAAAAAGATGGCCCCTCGACGTCATAGATCACTTGTCGTTGAACTTGAGCATGTCGGCCTGCATCTTCTCGAACCACGGCCTCTTCCTTGGCGACAAGGCGTTGAGATCCACCTTCATGATCTCCACCCCGGTCATCATGCTTGCAAGAGCCACTTCTTTCGCCTTTGTCTTGGCATTGGCGGCCTCGATCTCTAGCATCTTGGCTTGCTTCTCCGCCTCGAGCTCGAACATCTTGGCTTGCTTCTCGGCGTCAAGATCAAGCCTCCTCCTTTGGATCTCCATGAAAGCATCCATTTGCTCCGCCTTAAAATGCCGGCGCTCCTCCTCTCTTGAGTCCTGCTTATTCATCATGCTGTCCACGCTTGCGATCAAGGCGTTGGTGGCGGCATCTCGCTTGTCCTCCTTTTTGGAGTTGGTCTTCCCCCGAGGCCGTGCCGGCTCGCCCTCCCCAACATCCTCCACAACGCCCTTCCCCCCACGTGCCTTGAGCGCGGCATATTGTGCCTTGAACTTCTCTTCGTCCTTGATGACCCGATAGCAATGAGAGAGGTTGAAGCACTTGCCATTGTGTTGAACCTTGAATGCCTCCAAAGCTTGAAATGTCTATAAAATGTTTCCATGCAAGCATATGAGCAAGTGATAGCAAAATGAAGACGTAAAAGGATGATCTTGATGGCATAAAAGAGGGCGGCTTACTTGCTATCATACCATGTCTTGCACGCCGATGCCGCTCACGGGGCGGGCCTTGACGCTCTCAAGGGTGGCACAAAACTTATTGCACTCTTGTTGGATCGCCCTCCACCGCTTGGGAATGGAGACCCACCCGCGCGCGCTCACAAATTGGTAGGGTAGAAACTTCTTGCGCTCATGAAACTCGCGGTGCACACGAGTCCAAAAGGTTGAATGCTTTTGCTCGGCGCCCGTCTTTGGGTCTTGTCCAATGTCTCGCCAACACTTGCAAAGAAGCTTGTCCTCGGCAGCTGTGTACGCCTTTGTGCGCTTGCTCTTGCGCTTCGGCTTAGGACCGGCGGTTTGGTTGGCGAGCTCGTCCTCGAACAAAGGCTCCACTTCGACGTCGCACTCGTCCTCTTTCTCTAGCCCACAGTCCTCCGGGAACTCGTGGTCGAGGGGGAATCCGTCCAGGTCGATGCCGACTTGATCACGCATGAAGGCCGCCTGATGGGGATCATAGCCAGCGGCCGGCGTGAACGTCCCGCGGCCATCCTGGCTTTGTGTCTCCTCTGGATCGTAGCCAGCGCCCGGCGCACCACCCTCGAAGATGAGGTGTTGCATGTAGTCCTCGTCGACGGCGGACATCATTTCCTCGAACAGGTTACGGGCGCCCGGGAGACTGCCGGCTGGCGTCTGTCGCACGCGTTTCCTCGTGCCGCCGGACGACGAGCCATCGACCACCGGGGTGGCGTTGAGGTCGATGGGCGCGGGCGTGGAAGGCGCGACCACGCTCACGTCGGGTGAGCACTTCCCGGAGAGGCGGGAGGCCTGCGGGTAGACGTGGAAGCCGGGGACCGGGTTGCAAGCCGATGCGCGGGGTGAGTCGGGCATCACCATCCGAGAAACACCGACGAGCCGGTGCTGGCAGCGGCGACGGCGGCTTGGACGAGGTTGTGTTGGCTAGGGTTTACCCCAAGCATGTAGAGCGCCTCCCTCTTTGCCGCGGCGACGTGGGCGTTGGTGAACTCCTGCTGTGCGGCGGCGGCGGCCTGCGCAGCGGCCTCATCCCTCGTGTCCGTGGCGTGCCTCCGGCCCTTCCTCTTGGCCGACTCCCTTGCCCGCTGTTCGGGCGTCAGCGCCTTCTTCGGCTTGGTCGCCGCGGCGGTCTTGCGCGGGGCACGAGGCTTGCCTTTCCCGAAGGGGGCGACGGCGCCGGACGAGGCGAGGGAGGCGAGGCTGGCGACGGCATCGAGGTGGAGGTCGATGGCGTCCTCCATGGCTTGTTGGGGGGCGGGGGCGCGCGCGGGCGGGAGCGTTTTTGGGGAAAATGGGGGGAAATGGTGGTGGTTGCCACCGACAGGCGGGCCCGGGGAGAGGAGTAGGCGCGCGCGCGTCTGTTTCGTGTCCGCGCCAACGCAAATCCGGCTCAAAATTAGGCCTGAAATGGGTCGCCCGTGGACGAAAAACGGACGCGCGTCCGTTTGGGTCGGCGCGTTGGGCCGCCATTTTTGTCCGCGCCAACCCAAATAGACCCGGGCGGACAAAATGGGTCACCCCATTGGAGTTGCTCTAAAATATCAATTACTTTTTCGCGGGAATGGTGGAATATTAATTACGTGATAGATTTTAAGGGATAACGTTGAGTCAAAACGTGTTTATAACCAATGGCAATGATGGATAATTAGAGCGTTAAACGTGTTTGATGCTCAACATTAAAACGATTTGAACCGCTAAATAACATAATTTGACGATTGAGATGTTTTGAATTTGTCTATTTAAGTTCTTTTATATCAGTATATAGATATAAATATAGATATAGATATAGACTAAAGAGATGGTGAACGGAAATTGAAAAAGAGCACCGAAAGATAACCAATAACAGAAAGCAAAGAAGCGACGCAAATACCGGAAAGTCCTTTCTCAATCCGAGCTCAAATGAGCTCGGGTGAACAGTAAAATTAAAAAATATTTTAAAAATGCTCAAAAATTCTAATTTTTTTTGGTAAACATTGACAAATATTCTAATTGCTTGCAAAGTTTCATCTTCATATCACATTCGTACAAGGCGTGGCAAAAAAAAAATCAGTGCTTCGAAATGCTTTGAAAGTAGCATTTTCAGAGCATCGATTTTGTTTTTTTTTTGTCACGCCTTCTATGAATGTGATCTGAAGATGAAATTTTGCAAGTAGTTAGAACATTTGTCAAAGCTTGTCACAAAAAAATCAAATTTTTTTGAACATTTTTAAAATGTTTTTTTATTTTACTGTTCACCCGAGCTCATTTGAGCTCGGGTGTAGATACTCCACGTCCCGCAAATACGAGCAGCAAACATAGACTAGAGAGAGGGCCGCTGAGCACAGAGAAGCTAGCAGAACAGAGCTGTTTCGATTGGTCATCGATCGACACCTCCATGAGGCATCACCTCATTAGTCAAGCTTCAACACCGATATATCCTGGTTATTTTTTTGAAAAGAAACATAGAAACTTTATTCATTTGCGATAACAAGTACATCGTTTATGAGGAGAAGTACAATTTCACTCAAAGGCTCTTCAAACTAGTTCAAAGATGAAGAAAATCTAGCTAACTTAGCAAGTTCATGTGCAACCCTATTTGCTTCTCTATTGACGGTGCCAGTCACGCAGCGGGGGACGCTGCGGCTTGTGCGCGAGCTGGATCTGCTTGGCCCGAAGGAGAAGATGACTGCCAAGGCCGCCGAGAAGCTGCTCCGGAAGTTCGACGAGCCGCTCACTGATGACAACATCGCCTGCATCGCCAAGCTGACCCGCCTCAACAAGGAGGCGCTGCGTGTTGCGGCTGCCATGACCGGCGCCGATGGAGTGGCCGAGGAGGCCGTTGTCTGATCATGTTAGTGCAATATTTTAGGAATCTCCAGCGCCTTAAGCGGGGTTGAGTTAGGGCTCTCTGTAATTCCTGTAGGGTTAGTGGTTAGGAGTAGCTGGCGCTGCTGCAATTTGGGGCTTATTGGTGGGCTGCAGCGTTCCCTGAAAGTTGGAGGAGTTAGCTTGTCTTCGGTAGTGCGTTTATCTTCAATCAATGAAATTAGTAGCAGTTGGAGTATGATCAAGTGCCCATATGAATGACAACCGCTGTCCGATAGTTAGTTGGAACGTACTGTGAAGCTATCGCGGCGCATCGACCAGCGATTCTCTGTCTTCAGGAGACGAAAATAGACGCCTGGTCACCAGCTCTAGTTAGGGACATTGGAGGTAGCAGGTTAGCCGACTGCGTAGTGTTGCCTGTGATCGGGTCTAGAGGCGGGGTGGCCATTTTTTGGGACAGTGAGATCGTCTCGATCGCGTCCCAGGCAGTAGGGGAATTCGCCATCACTTCCAAAGTTACGGTCAGCCAATCGGCCACCGTTTTTTGGCTAACTGCGGTCTATGGACCTGCTGACGACGCCCGTAAGGATGCGTTCCTCCTGGAGCTGGCACGATCTGCCCCCTCCTGGAGAGCCG